TGACCACGTGATCGCTGAAGACGGAGAATACTATGTGGACCACGCGTCCGTATTTTAGGAGATTATATATTTGTAAAAGATAATTATTGTATATATATAGCCGGTAGTGTCGGATAGATATACGAGAACTTGTTTGTTCGACCAATCTCTCGGAGAAGGAGAGGTGGTCGATATCACTTCTCTCTGTATGCATATATGTTCATGACGATCTTCTGTTTGCTTACTAGCTAGCTAGCGTGTCTAGCTAGTCCTCTCTATACGTATGTATGTATGGTACGTAGCGTCGACCAAGCACGGACAAAAGAGAGGACACTTCTCTCTATTAATTAGCTAGCTATAGCACAATATATGAAACACCTAAATTAACCCCCCAAAACCCCCAACCCCCCCCTTTTTAAAAAAAACAAAAACCACAGCCACATAAACGCTGACGCGTGGATGCCTATTGGTCCCGGTTGGTGCCACCAACCGGGACCAAAGGCCCTCCTGCCTGGGCTCAGGGGACAGGCCACGTGGAGGCCCTTCTGTCCCGGTTCTGGATTGAACCGGGACTAAAGGGGTCAGGGCATTAGTACCGACCCTTTAGTCCCGGTTCATGAACCGGGACTAAAGGCCCTCACCAATCGGGATAATAGGCCCTTTTTCTACTAGTGAGGGTAGGTCCCAAAATATAGATTTTTTCTTCCACATGGGTGCGCGTCCCTCAGCGTCAGTCGGAAACAGATAGTTTGCCGGGACCCTTTTCGAAGATTACTTTTAAATCATTGACCATAGCAAGTACGTGATCACCGGTACGCATGGCGGGCTTCTTCCAGTGATCTGCCTCGCCTTTAAAATGCTTGCCTTTCTTTCGACATTGATGGTTGGTCGGAAGGAATCAACGATGCCCCAGGTATACATTCTTCCTGCATTTGTCCAGGTATATACTTTCGGTGTCATCTAAACAGTGCGCGCATGCGTGGTATCCCTTGTTTGTCTATCCCGAAAGGTTACTGAGAGCAAGCTAATCATTGATGGTGACAAACAACAACGCATGTAGGTCAAATTCCTCCTGTTTGTGCTCATCCCACACACGCACACCGTTTCCAATCCATAGCTGTAAAAGTTCTTCAACTAATGGCCTTAGGTACACATCAATGTCGTTGCCGGGTTGCTTAGGGCCTTGGTTGAGAACTGACATCATAATGAACTTCCGCTTCATGCACAGCCAAGGAGGAAGGTTATAGATACATAGAGTCACGGGCTAGGTGCTGTGATTGCTGCTCTTCTTCCTAAAAGGATTAATGCCATCCGCGCTTAAACCAAATCATACGTTCCTTGCATCACCTGCAAACTCCTTCTAGTACTTTCTCTCAATTTTTCTCCACTGCGACCCGTCAGCGGGTGCTCTCAACTTCCCGTCTTTTTTACGGTCCTCTCTGTGCCATCACAACAACTTGGCATGCTCTTTGTTTCTGAACAGGCGTTTCAACCGTGGTATTATAGGAGCATACCATATCACCTCAACAGGAACCCTCTTCCTGGGGCGCTCGTCGTCAACATCAACAGGGTCATTTCGTCTGATCTTATACCGCAATGCACCGCATACCGGGCATGCGTTCAAATCCTCGTCGCACCGTTGTACAGGATGCAGTCATTAGGGCATGCACATGTATCTTCTGCACCTCCAATCCTAGAGGGCATACTACTTTCTTTGTTGCATATGTACTGTCGGGCAATTCCTTATCCTTTGGAAGCTTCTTCTTCAATATTTTCAATAGCTTCTCAAATCCTTTGTCAGGCACACCATTCTCTGCCTTCCACTGCAGCAATTCCAGTACGGTACCGAGCTTTGTGTTGTCATCTTCGCAATTGGGGTACAAACCTTTTTTGTGATCCTCTAACATGCGATCGAACTTAAACTTCTTCTTTTCACTTTCGCACTGTCTCCTTGCATCAACAATGACCCGACGGAGATCATCATCGGGCACATGTGGCAGGCACCGGCATACACCATACTGGGCGCCGGGGAGGTGTTCGCCGCCATTGGCGTGATCGAGCTCTTCTACGACAAAGCGCCCGACAGCATGAGGAGTCTGTGCACCGCACTCGCACAGCTCGCTGTCGCAGCGGGGAACTACCTTAACTCGGCCGTGCTGGGCTCCGTCGCGTCCGCCACGGGATGGATCCCAGAGGACCTCAACGACGGCCACCTGGACTACTTCTTCTGGCTGATGGCGGTGCTCGGCGCACTAAACCTGCTGCAGTTCTTGCTCTGCTCTGTTCCGGCCATGAGGCACACCCGTAGGTAGCCCGACTTCACAAAGACATAGCAGTCCGTGTTCATTTTTCTTATTAAAAAATAGGATTATCCCCAGGCTCTGCATCATTTCAATGGAAACAAGCATAGTCGGTGTTCATAGTGAGTGTTCATTTGGACTTGAGAAATTACATCATTTACAAATATTAGTACGCAACAGCGGCGATCACGAAGTGACTGAATGCTGTTAGTACAAGAAAGCACTTCACAGTCTTCAATCGAAGCCACTGAATTGTGCATCTCCAGCGGCATTCATCAACCGACGGCCCTCCAATGTCTACGAACCACGTTCGGACGGCGAACCAACCTATGATTGGATGGTCAGAGGGACTGTGGTATCCGCAGCCCATCAGGGTTCAAATCCTGGTGCTCGCATTTATTTCTGGATTTATTTCAGAATTTTCGACGACCCGCATTCAGTGGGAGGAGACGTTCCCGGCCAGCTCAGTATTTCGGAGGTGCTCATAGGGGTAGGATATGCGTGTGTGCGTTCATAGGGGGTGAGTGTATGTGCGTGTATATAAGTGCTTACGTCTCTGTACTGTGTTAAAAAAAAAGAACCACATTCGGACATGTCGGCCAACAACGGGTGGGACGCCGGCGCTCCAACGCTATACATCAAATATCCGCCTCTCATCTCTTTTTTCTCTAATTCATTTTCTTCGAATATTGGAAATAATCTGAAACCACACGTTTCAATATGCTATACTTCCTTTATTTATTGGAAATCAGTGCTCAACCACCACGACGGTTCGTTTTTGGCTACTACAGTTTTTTTTTGGGTGAATGTCGCCGTCTTATTCACTTAAAAGAAGTTCGGAATTTCGTCCGTGACCACCTCCAGAATGCACTCTGGCGGTGATCCCAACCAAACCTTACAAAGTTCTTCTCCTACCCCTATCTTAGCTAATTTATGCGCGGCAACATTCACGGATCGCCTAACCCAAGAGACCCTAAAATCGACGAAGCCTTGAAGCATGGTCTTTATCTCCTCCAGCCACGGTCTCGAGGCCGACAAGTTCTTCTCTGGAGTGTTGATGGTTTGCACTAGAGCCTGGCTGTCCAGCTCGAGATGTACCCTCTGTACATTAATCTCCGCTGCGACCAACAGAGCACGCTTGCATGCCATGATCTTTGCCACTCCAGGATCAGCCATGGTGAAGAAATGACATGCACAAGCAAGGAACGCCCCTTGGCTATCTCTGAGTACAACTCCTCCGTTTTTGGCTACTTCAGATGAGCGCTTAATAACACATTACTTTTTTTTAACACAATACATATGTAGACACTTATATATATGCACATAGATTCATCTCTATAAACGCAGGCACACACCCTATCCCTAGAGCACTTCCGAGAGACTGAGGGGCACATCATCTTGAGATCGATGAAGTCGTCACATACACCTTCGTAGTCGACGGAAACGTTATCTCTCACTAAACGCACATCGTTAGAAGACCAAAAATAAATCAAGGAAAATGCGAGCGGCTCCGGTGCCCCATGCATCACCTAAATTCGATGAGTGGCGACATAACATCCTCCTTGCAGATAACAGAGATAAGAGGCTTCGAGGGGCACGTGGCGACAACACGAGACTACTGATTTCAGCGATTGTTTGGCCCACCGAAGGGAATGATTTTCCTTTAAAATCAATAACAGTTCCCCAACAGTCATCTGCAACGACAAAAAAGTATAAATTTGGGCTCGATTCCCATGTGGTGTTTGGCACACAGATTTGTAGGTTCCTTTTAACAACCGAAAACGATGTCCACTCAAACTGAAAGAGACATCCCATCCGCTTCTCGTTCTTTCTTGGTGCCTCCCATCCATCTTTCTCCTCCTCCTCCAGGTTCTCTCCCTCTCTCTCTCTCTCCCTTCCGTGTGTGTTCTGTTTCAGTTTTTATGAAATCATTCTTGAATCTGTGATTGTAGTTTTTCGAGTGTCGTCTGAAGGAGGAGAACTAGGAGGCGAAAAACGTAAAAACCGAAGGCAAAAAAAATTGTTGGTAGCATAGAAGATAGCGATGAGAGATATACTTGTAAATGTATATCGGTCAGACGCAAAAGCTAACAAATTGATGCTAGCACTAGCGATCATTTTTTTTCTAGAATACAGCGATCATTTTTTTTTACCGAAAAAGCTAGCCATCAGATTTTTTTGTACGGGTAACTAGCGACCAGATTTTGTTGTTGTTGAGGGAGCAATCAACCAGATTTATGTAGAGGCGCGCCACCAAGGCAGACACGAGCGAGCTGTTTTTTAGGTTTGGGCTCTGACAAATTAAAATGAAACAAACAGGACAAACAATGAAAAAGTGAGGTGACGCTGACATCATATTTAGATGTGAGGTATTATCTTACATCTAGATGTAATATAGACGTACCCAAAAGTATAAGTTCAGGTTTGATTCCAATGTGGTGTTTGGCAGACAGATTTGTAGGTTCCTCTTAACAACCGAAAACGATGTCCACTCAAACTGAAAGAAAGAGACATCGCATCTGCTTCTCTTTCTTTCATGGTGCCGCCCATCCAACACCAACCAGTACAATACGTACGTCCTCATTAGCTGCCTCCATCTTCCTCCTCTCCTGCCCCAGGTCTCTCTGTGTGTGTTCTTGATCTGGTGATTGCAGTTTATTCACTGTCGTCTGAAGGAGGACTAGGAGGTGTTCGTTGGTTGTCCTGTTACGGCGATTAGCCATGGAAGCAGCAGGAGATGAGGAGAGGCCCTTGCTCCATCACCCACATCCTCATCTCTATCAGGCAAGTACAAATAAAATCATGGCATCTGTTTTACTAGTTATAGCTAGCCGAGTAGATTTAAGCTAACAGTAATCAAAGTAGCCGGTGATTAATTAGGAGTAAGCTCCCGGAACACCCGTGGGATTAGTGATAGCCGTGTTTTCCTGATTGCCTGCATGTGATAAATTTATTTTTTTGAGGGTAGTGCATGTGATCTTTTGATGTGGTCGATTCCTGGGAGAAATCATGATTTAAAAAAGATTCTTCGGAAAATTTTATCATACACAGAAATAAATAGTTCAATTTAGCATAAGACCGTCACAAGAAATAAGTAAATCATAGCAAAGGTTTTACACAGGATGGGAATTCAAGATACACTAGTGATGGAACAGTTGATGTTGACGGACAACCTGCTGTTAAGGCAAGCACAGGGGACTGGAGAGCCTGCTTCTTTGTCCTAGGTATACTACAAAACTCATCAACTTTTTTTCCTTCCCTAAAAGATGCTCAACACTTACTCTAATTGTCTGACATGCACTAGGTATCCAATTCAGCGAATGCCTGGCCTTCTTCGCTATCTCCAAGAACTTGGTCACCTACCTAACCAGCGTGCTCCACGAAAGCAACATCGACGCGGCGAGGAATGTGTCCACTTGGATTGGCACCACATTCTTCACGCCGCTTGTTGGAGCTTTCTTAGCAGACACCTATTGGGGAAGATACAAGACATTAGTGGTTTTCCTCTCGGTTTATGCTCTCGTAAGTGAAACATACGTTTTTCATGAATATAATACGTAATGTGCACATTACCATTCAGACGTGTGAATCAGCCGATACATTGGTCGTCTGCAGCACCACCATTTTTTTATGGAATTATGCTACGAGCATCGATGAACAACTTTCATGTTTTTTCCTAGGGAATGCTTGTCCTCACGGTTTCGACGACACTCCCATGGATGCGGCAATCCTCCAGCAATGATGAGATCCATCGTATCGCCGTCTACACAGGACTCTATCTTACAGCCCTTGGCAATGGTGGCATCAAGCCATGTACTTCCACTTTTGGTGCTGACCAGTTTGACATCACCGACCCGTCGGAGCAGTTAAAGAAGGGCTCCTTCTTCAATTGGTTCTACTTCTCGACCAGTATTGGTTCCCTTCTATCGACCACTATGATCGTGTGGGTGCAAGATAATGCTGGTTGGGGCATTGGCTTCGCGGTCCCGACGATCTTCATGAGCCTCAGCTTCACAGTGTTCATCGCTGGTAGGAGGATCTATAGGTACAAGACACTGGGAGAGAGTCCCATGACAAGAGTGTCTCAGGTTGTTGTTGCAGCTGCAAGGAATCACCATATGGATTTGCCAGATGATTGCTCAACCCTACATCACCTGCCTTCAGCACCATTAGAGGCTACGTTCAATGTTCACCATACCACTCAGTTCAGGTATGTAGTATAATATCTTCGGGAAGAAACTCATGTTACTTTCTGAATTTTGTGTTTGAAAATATTGTGTTTCCTTTCCAGATTTTTGGACAAGGCTGCCATTGTACCAGCACCAACAGTGGAGAAGAAAGGCACGTCGACAAGCCCGTGGAGGCTATGCGTAGTGTCTCATGTGGAGGAGGTGAAGATGTTGTTGCGATTGTGCCCCACATGGGCGTCCTTGGTGATATTCTTCATGATCATGTCGCAGATGTCGTCGACGGTGATTGAGCAGGGCATGATAATGGACAACCGCGTGGGGCCATTTGTTGTGCCGCCAGCCTCCATCGCCAGCTTCACCGTGGTTACCACGCTCGTGCTAGTCCCCATCTACGACATGGTGCTGGTGCCCTTGGCCCGGCACGCCACCGGTGAGGATCGAGGCCTCACGCAGTCACAGCGCCTCGGCATTGGCTTCGCGATGTCCACACTCTGCATGGCCTACTTGGCGCTGCTCGAGAGGAACCGGCTCGCGGTAGCCGCGACCGGGGAAATGATGAACATCATGTGGCAAGCACCGGCGTATGTTGTGTTGGGTGCCGGCGAGGTGTTCACGGTAATTGGCATGTTGGAGCTCTTCTATGACCGGTCACCAGACGGAATGAGGAGCCTATGCACTGCACTATCACAGCTCGCTGTCGCGGTGGGGAACTACCTCAACTCAGCTGTGCTGGGCGTTGTCGCATCCACAACGGTGTGGATTTCGGAGGACCTCGACAAAGGCCACCTAGACTACTTCTTCTGGACGATGGCGGCGCTCGGTGCCCTGAATCTGTTGCAATTTTTGTTCTTCTCCATGAGGTACAATGATAACACAGCTTGTCGACAACGCCATCCATATTAGTGATGTTTCACTTTGTCTGAAGACAGCCTATCAAGCTTCTTGACTATTATTCAGGTGAAATTATTTCTACTAGAATCTGTGAGACACATCCTAGATCATCGGTCTCTGCTTAACCACCTGCAGTGTTTTGATTTCCACCTGCGACAAATGAGCACATAATAACACATCACAACCTGATATACCGCAAAAGAATAAATCACACATGATTTGCAAAACCATACTATTTGTTTCTACCTAAATGGAGAAAAAGTTGACATCATTGTTGGTGCAACATAAACAATCATTTAAACGAAACACATGGCCAAAAACACAACGTAACATCAGCAAGGCAATGGTTACATCAAGGTCTTCTTTAGATCTTCATGCAAATCCATTGGCAATCAACCGTGCATAATCGAACTCTGTGTTGAAAAAAATCTATTAGGACTCTCTGCCTATTTTTCACTCTTTTCTCAACATGAAAATCAGGCAGCTTTTGAAGTGTTGGTGGCTGGCTTAATTCATTCTTACTTAATAACTTCATTAGTTTCATTTTTTTAGTTTTATATTTAAGGGTATTACAAATGCCACTAATACATTTGTTTTTATGAAATATTTTATTATAAAATAGCATTATTATATTCTTATTCTTGCATATTATTAAAAGACACACTTTTTGTGTAAATTATGTGCAAGCTTTTCTCATTGGTTGTTTTGTTTAATTTTCATTTTCTTTCGTCTTAAAAGGTAATACTAATGCCACTATTTCATTATATTTTACAAAACTCATTATTTTAGTTCTGTTTTTTGTTCTTATTTCATTATGTTTGTGCAGAAAACTACAAAGACCTTGTCCCGTGATTAAGTTTCATTGGATCGATGGATCAAAACTTACGCATGGAAGATATATCTATGAACTCGATCACTTGTGTAGTTTTCAGGATTTGCCCAACAAAGTATACTACTAAAAGCTAGCTTGTACTGCAAGGAGTAGTATTTTGCACGGCGACAAAATTTGGATGAAAAATTGATGTTGAAAAATCATATGCATGTGAGAGTATGCTTTTACGTGCGCGCGTGGGGTTGGTTCACGTTTGATAATTTTGTACTCCCTCCGTCTCATAATGTATGGCGTTTTTTTATCCTTTTATTCGGATCTTTTAATCTTTCTACTGTTCCTTGGCATCATTGGGCGTGAATCTCTGTATCAGCCGCGCCAGGTTTTGGTACGATGAACCTCCTATGGCCATGGCCGTGCGAGCTCTCTCGCCGTACTCCTTGGCCTTCCTCCTCCTCTCCTCGGCCACGTCGCCACTGCCCATGAGCTCCGACACCGCCCGCGCGATGTCTCCGCGCGCCACCATTACGGCCTCGCCGTCAGGCACAGCTGCGCCGACGGGCACGCCCACCCCGAGCACGTCCACGGCCAGACGCTCGTTCAGGAACTGGTCTGCCAAGTGCGGCCACGTCACGACCGGCACGCCGTGTGCGATCGACTCCAGCAGCGAGTTCCAGCCGCAGTGTGTCACGAAGGCCCCCACGGCGCGGTGCGACAGGATGGCGAGCTGCGGCGCCCAGCCGCGCACCACGAGGCCATGACCCGCGGTGCGTGCCTCCAGGGCTTGCAGCCACTCCAGCACCTCCGGCGAGGCCGCCACCTCGGACTCCTTCACGACCCAAAGGAACGGCCTGCCCGAGTCCTCGAGGCCATGCCCGACCTCGTACAGCTGCTCGTGAAGCACCCGCACGAGGCTGCCGAAGCTGGCAAAAACAACGGAGCCGGTGCACATGGCGTCGAGCCATTCGGTGACCGCGCTCTGGTTGACGGCGGTGGGTCTGTCCTTGTCCCCGCGGCACGCCAGGGCCGTCTCGTCGCGGTTGCTGAGGCAGAACGGCCCGAGCGCCCACACCGGCATCCCCAGCGCCGCCTCGTAGCACGACACGAACTGTCCCTCGAGGTCCAGGAACGTGTTGGCGACGGCGCCGTCGGCCATGCGCATGGCCTCCATGGCGTTCTTCTGGAACGCCTCCCACGCAGGAGTCTTCAAGAAAGCGGAGGAGCAGGTAGCCCTGGTCATCTCCAGGCGCACCGGCATGCCTGGCATGACGCACGTCTCGCGCTCCTCAACAAGTCCGTGCGTGGCGACGTTGAGGTCGCAGAGCGAGTAGAAGCAGGAAGGGCCGTGGAAGAAGAGCAGCGGCACCCCAACGCTCCTGGCCACGCCGGCAGTCCATGCGTTAGCCCTGTCGTAGATGATGCAGCCGGGCCGCCGCCCCAGCGCGCGCAGGTAGGCCTCCAAGGGGCCGGCGAGCCTGTGGAGGGCCTGGAACATGGGGGCTAAGGTGTCGATGTCGTCGCCACAGCCGGGGGGCAGTCCGTCGTCGGCCGGCGCGAACGGGAGCTCGACTATGTCTAGGGGCAGCTTGGCGCGCCGCGCAGAGTCGGCGACGCCCTGGAGGCGCGCGGCGTTCCAGGGCGTGGTCACCACGCTCACGCGCGCACCGCGTCCTGCGAGGAGGCGTGCAAGGTCCACCATCGGGATGGTGTGGCCCTGCGCCACGAGGGGGACGAGAACGAAGTGTGTCGGGAGCGCTGACGTAGCAACGTTGAACTCGTTCGTCTCCGTCGACGGCGCCATTGAAGACGTACGTGTAGGCATGCAGCTCTAACGGATGCGGAAGAATCGAGTGATGAGCTGAGCAACACTGCTGTTGAGGAGATGGATTTATATCCATTGCTTGAGACGCGACTTTTTTTAAGAGGGAAAGAGAGACGACTAAGGGCATCTCCAACGCACGCACCCGTAAACCAAACACCGCATCTGCCCGTCGATCCGCATAGTTAAACCAAATGAACAATCAGGTAAATGCTTAACTTCAGGTGAGTAGTATGGATGCATACGAGAAGATAACTTATTGAAAATCATAGCAAGTGACTCTAGGGAAGATATCTGGTGATACCAAGGCTTACGTGCTACCATGATAGGGGGTTCTGGGATCCGACAGCTCTCGGGAGTTCTTAAACATTTTACAAAAAAGTCATTCAAAATTTCAAAATTGCAGGTGATACAAATTTTAGGTGCTATCGTGATACATCTTTCTCGGTCGTTGGATTTCAGATCTGACGGCATGTAAAGAGCTATTATACCTATGCGTAATTTTGAAACTTTTGAATGTTTTTTTTGTAAAATGATCAAAAGCTCCCGGATCATGGTAGCATGTAAGGCTTGGTATCACCACATATCTTCCCAGTGACCCCAACATAGTGAAATAAGTAAAATTCATACGGACACATCTCTGAGATGGAGAAAAGAAATAGAGGAGAAAGCTCACGTTGTCAGATCAGGCAGGCGGTCCACCTAAAATCTCTACTCTTATAAAACCTGAGTTGGTGATGATGATGTGCATGCCATCTTTCACCAATAGCCGTCGGATCTAGATCTGACGCATACAAAGCAAACTACTGCAGTTTTGTAAAAAGATGTCCACACTTGTTTCCGTATTTACAAACAACTCCCTATCTCTCACAATCAGCCTTATCTCTTGCCCACCACATCCAGAAAGCCATGGAACAATCTGGTGTGATGGCCGCTGCTGGCGCCATTCACCCCAATCTTGATGTCCCGCTTACTAGTATCTTGTAAATATTCCACCTACCAGGACAAAACATGGAATGTTAGTGAAAACATAGCATGTTAGTGGTACCATTAGGGACGTAGACCGAGTGAGCTGTCAGCTGGCAGCATGCAGTGATACTCGACCGTGCATTTACGGTAATCAAGTCTTTGGACATGTGCATGTGCATATGGCAGGAGTCACACTATATCAAAAACATGTGATCAGGTCTTTAGATGTGCATGCGCATATGGCAGGAGTGACATGGACCACATCTGGCTCAGATTTGATCACATGTTTCCGATCTAGTGGCATTGAGATCCCTCTCGATTCAGATCCGTGAGAGCCTGCGCCCGGCAACACTGTGAATGCGCGGCCAGAGTATCACTGCATGCTGTCAACTCGCTCAGTCCCCTTCCCGAATTATTTTCGTGTGAATTGGATGGTACCCCTAAGAGCAACTTCAATGGGCCAACCCAAACGGACGTGTTCATTGTCTGTTTGGGTCAGCCCAGCGGACCTCCATGTCCCCTTTTGTGTTTTGGGTTGGCGCTTGCACGCTGTCCTGATCAATTTTTGAGTTCGCCTGCGAAACAATTTATAACACAATTTTTTTGAAATTAAAAACGTTAATTAAACATAAATGCCGGCTTTTGTCCACGAGTCCACATTACATTAATTAAAAATATTTAATAAAACTAAAAATGAGTAGGAGACGCGCTGCCCTAGGCATCCTCGTCATCAGCTTTGGGGCCGGTGAGGTCGACGAGCGTCGGCGCCGGGCAGCCCAGGGGAATGCCATCTCCCAGGTTGTGGCGACGTCCTCCGTCGCCGGAGTGACCGTCGCCGGCTGGGCAGCGCGGGCTCGGCGCTCCTCCTCCCACTGCTCCAGGAGCTCCTCCTCCGCGAGGCGCTCCCACTGCTCCAAGCGCTCCTCCGCCAGCCAGCGCGTCCGCCACTACTCGAGGTAGAGCTTCTCCTGCGTCAGCGTCGCCCCAAGCCAGATGGATGGCGCGTTGACCCACTTGCACCACTCCTTTCCAGGTGTACCGCTGGGGCGCCGACATAGGGGACGGCGCCAGCTCGGGCTTGATGGGGGACGGCGGCATCAGCGGCAGCACGGCGCAGTTGCTGGAAGCGGAGAGTCTGATGGCCTCTGGCATGCGCGCCTGGTATATGCTGCCTCCTCCTCCTTCGCCTTGCGCCGCTCGTCCTCTTCGCTTTCTTGCATGGCAACTGCCAGCACCGCCTGGTAGGCGGCCTCCTCATCCATGTCCGTGTGGAGCATGACGGGGGGTGGCGGGGGTGCCAACCCGCACATGCTGGACATAGGGATGACAATGGCAGGGTATGGGTGGGTACAACCTCCTTCTGCCCAAACCCATACCCATAGAAACTTTCTATACCCACCCACTTAAATACCCATGGTCATAAACTGGCCCCCCTGCCCATATCCATCGGGTATCCTATACACAATGGGTATACAGTGGGTACAATATATAGCATTTAATTTTTCAAAGGTAATAAATGAGTCTAAAATTCAAGTGATGATGGGGGAGCAATATAACACCGGCGCGGCCTCCTTTGATGGGTGGTCTGTTTGAGGCATCAAGGGAGTATGAGCAACGGTTAGTGGAAGCCTGGTGCAGTAGGAGGCAGTGGTAGGAATGAGAATCCTGGATCGAGAGTTTGACATGCAATGAGTAAAGATTTCATCCTTTTGAGGAGATTCATAGGACGTAGGAGGAGTGGCGAATAGGTGATTGTGGTCCTATGAGCTATCGTTAGTTTAGAGAATACAAGATTTAGGTTTGGGTCATAGGAGTTGGATGTTGACCCCACATGTCAGAGAAGTTATTTTCATTTATTAGTTTTTTGGTATCCATTGGGTTACCCAAGGGCGCAATTTCATACCTATGCCTTACTCATGTATTTTGCGGGTATGGATACCCATTATCCGTGGGTACAAAATGTTTTCAAGCCATGCAGATGCCCATTGTTTTCGGGTAGGGTACCAACGGGTACCCATACCCATGGGCAAAACTGCCATCCTTGACTGGACGCCGCGCTGGTGCTGCTCCTCGTCCTCGAGGGCGAACCAGACTCCCAATTAGGAGAGTCTGTTGCATAGATGGGGTTGAGGCGCTGCTCCAGTGCTAGCATGTCCCACCGGCGCTGCACCCCCTCCACGTGCGCCCGCACCTTCCGCAGCACAGCAGTACTGGGATCCTATCTGGATCCAAATGTGAGTCATGTGGCAGGGTCACGTCGGGGTACAGGAGGGGGATGCGGTGCTCCCAGTGCCACCTCGCCTGGTGCACTGGGACACTTATCTGCTGCCTCGTCGGGCGGGCACACGCCGGCGGAGGAAGGAGGGATCGCAAGCGAGCACGAAGAGGATGAGGCGGGGGCCTTGCCCTTGTTCTTGCCGGCGAAGAAGCCCGTGGTGGTGTGCGCTAGGCTAGGGTTTGTTGGGGAACGTAGCAGGAATTCAAAATTTTCCTACAAGTCACCAAGATCTATCTATGGAGAAACCAGCAACGAGTAGAAAGAGAGTGCATCTACATACCCTTGTAGATCGCTAAGCGGAAGCGTTCAAGTGAACGGGGTTGATGGAGTCGTACTCGTCGTGATTCAAATCACCGATGATCCTAGTGCCGAACGGACGGCACCTCCGCGTTCAACACACGTACAGCCCGGTGACGTCTCCCACGCCTTGATCCAGCAAGGAGAGAGGGAGAGGTTGAGGAAGACTCCATCCAACAGCAGCACAACGGCGTGGTGGTGGTGGAGGAGCGTGGCAATCCAGCAGGGCTTCGCCAAGCACCATGGGAGAGGAGGAGTAGGGAGAGAGGTAGGGCTGCGCCAGAACTTCGTGTTGAGCTCCATGCGCCTCCCCACTTTATATAGGGGTGGAGGGGCTGGTTTCTTGCCCTCCAAGTCCATTGGGGCGTTGGCCAAGGTGGGAGGAAAGAAATCCCATCATTTCCTTCCCCACCGATTGTTATCCCCCCTTTTTAGGGATCTTGATCTTATCCCTTCGGGATATGATCTTATTCCTTCTAAGGGGGGATCTTGTTGCGCCTTGACCAGGGGTGTGGGGCCTTGCCCCCACTACCCACGTTCATGTGGGTCCCCCCATGCAGGTGGGCCCCACTCCGGAACCTTCTAGAACCTTCCCGGTACAATACCGAAAAAAACCTGAACATTTTCCGGTGGCCAAAATAGGACTTCCCATATATAAATCTTTACCTCCGGACCATTCCGGAACTCCTCGTGACGTCCGGGATCTCATCCGGGACTCCGAACAACATTCGGTAACCACATACAAACTTCCTTTATAACCCTAGCGTCATCGAACCTTAAGTGTGTAGACCCTACGGGTTCGGGAGACATGTAGACATGACCGAGACGTTCTCCGGTCAATAACCAACAACGGGATCTGGATACCCATGATGGCTGCCACATGTTCCACGATGATCTCATCGGATGAACCACGATGTCAAGGACTTAATCAATCCCGTATTCAATTCCCTTTGTCTACCGGTATGTTACTTGCCCGAGATTCGATCGTCGGTATCCAATACCTTGTTCAATCTCGTTACCGGCAAGTCACTTTACTCGTTCCGTAACACATCATCCCGTGATCAACTCCTTGGTCTCATTGCGCATATGATGATGTCCTACCGAGTGGGCCCAGAGATACCTCTCCGTTTACACGGAGTGACAAATCCCAGTCTCGATCCGCATAAAACAATAGATACTTTCGGAGATACCTGTAGTGCACCTTTATAGTCACCCAGTTACGTTGTGACGTTTGATACACCCAAAGCACTCCTACGGTATCCAGGAGTTACACGCTCTCATGGTCGAAGGAAGAGATACTTGACATTGGCAAAGCTCTAGCAAATGAACTACACGATCTTTTGTGCTAGTCTTAGGATTGGGTCTTGTCCATCACATCATTCTCCTAATGATGTGATCCCGTTATAACGACATCCAATGTCCATAGCCAGGAAACCATGACTATCTGTTGATCACAACG